CAAGTCTTTGGGAGAACTGACTTAGCCTCATTCCTACTTCCTTGTTTAGGTGTTGAATACACATCAGGCTGAGCCAATTAGGTTATTCTTCAGTTCAGTCGCTCAGTTGTGTCCAACTCTTTGCGACCCCATGAATCGCAGCACGCCAGGCCTCCCTGTCCATCACAAACTCCCGGAGTTTACTCAAACTCATGTCCATCGAGTCGGTGATGCCACCCAACCATCTCATCCTCTGTCGTCCTCTTCTCCTCCTGCCTCCAATCCCTCCCACCATCAGGGTCTTTTCCAATGAGTCCAGCTGTTCACAAGAGGTGGCCAAAGTACTGGAGTTTCAGCTTCAGCATCAGTCCTTCCAATGAACACCCAGGACTGATCTTCTTTGGGACGGACTGATTGGATCTTCTTGCAGTCCAAGGGACTCTCAAGAATCTTCTCCAACACCACAGATCAAGAGCATCAATTCTTCGGCACTCAGCTTTATTCACAGTCCAACTCTCACATCCATACATGACCAGTGGAAAAACCATAGCTGTGACCTTTGTTGGCAAAGTAATGTCTCTGCTTTTTAATATGCTCTCTAGGTTGGTCATAACTTTCCTTCCAAGGAGTAAGTGTCTTTTAATTTCATGGCTGCAATCACCATCTGCAGTGATTTTGGAGCCCCAAAAAATAAAGTCTCTCACTGTTTCCCCCTCTATTTGCCATGAAGTGATGGGACCAGATGCCATGATCTTAGTTTTCTGAATGTTGAGCTTTAAGCCAACTTTTTCACTCGCCTCTTTCACTTTCATCCAAGAGGCTTTTTAGTTCCTCATCACTTTCTGCCATAAGGGTGGTGTCATCTGCATATCTGAGCTTATTGATATTTCTCCCAGCAATCTTGATTCCAGCTTGTGCTTCTCCCAGCCCAGCATTATTCTTACCCTCTGACAACAGTGATAAGCTCAGGGACAAGCATTTTATCTGAGGCAATCTAATCAGAGTGACTAGATTTTTATTGACAGTACTAGGAAAAATAGGTTCAAAATTATCAAGGAAGCATTTAGCTTTACCTGGACCTTCAAGAGAAATCAACCTTAAGTAAAGCTGATATCAAGTAAGCAAAACAAGGTATGAAAGAAGTCTGATCCTGATGATATTACTGAGCCACTGGTTCCAGACTAAAGTCAGTGAATCCCACTTAATCTCTCTACTTTTTAGTTATATGAACCAATAAACTTCCTTTCAGCAAAGGTTTCAATTGTGTACTCTACTGATTATAAGCAAAAGAATCCTGATATATAATATCTGGGTTGAGTCTGACATCAACACATCATACTAATATACCTTGGTTGATGTCTAGTTGCCAATTTTACTCTTAGTTCTGAGTTATCAGTAATCAGAGCTTCCTTCTTCTTCCTCTAAGCTAATACTCAGCTCACAGCAGATGCTCAAAGGGTATTTGTTGAACCACATTAGCAAGGCAGAACCTAAAACAGGCATCTAAGAAGGATTTATTATCCAAGTTCAAACAATACTGTCTTCTAAGAGCAGTAAAACCAACTTCAGGACAGTGTTTCTCAAACATTTTTGGCTGCATTCCACAATAAGCAATGTATTTTATGCCATGATTTGATACACACAAAACTATATGACTGAAAAATAAAATTAAAAGAATACTTACCCCCTACTACATGCAAAGAACTCTATTTTTCCTTCAATTTTTTAAAATGGCTCATGATTACCTATTAAATTCATTTCACACTGCTTACAAGGGGATGACCTATATATTGAAAAATGTGGCCTTAGAAGTTCTCTTAAATCAAAATGGGGAACTTCGATGACTTGCTAGTAAAAAGATCAGCCAAGGCAAACAAAAGAAAATAAAACACCTTGTCCAGGTTTTCTTGCACAAACAGTAGGTCAAGAGCCTCTTAAGTATTATTACCTCTTGTGTCTCACTTTTTCTAATCAAGCAAGAATTAGACTTTCAGTGTTTCTGCCCTGCTCAAATCCTCACAGTGGCCTTCAGTGTATAATACTCAAATGTCAGACTAAAGTCAAGGTGAAAGTGAAAGTCGCTCAGTCCTGTCAGACTCTTTGCGACACCATGGACTACACAGTCCATGGAATTCTCCAGACCAGAATACTGGAGTGGGTAGCCTTCTTCTCCAGGGGATCGTCCTAACCCAGGGACTGAACTCAGGTCTCCCGCATTGCAGGTGGATTCTTTACCAGCTGAGCCACAAGGGGGCCCAAATCAAGGTGAGGAATCCACTAAATGTACCAAATCCTGCATGTGAAGTGTAAAATATTTCTTTTTTAATTTGGCCGCTCCAGGTCTTAGTTGTGGCATGTGGGACCTAGTTCCCTGACAAGGAATGGAATCTGTGCCCCCTGAAGGAATGAAACCTGTGCAGAATCATAACCACTGGACCACCAGAGAAGTCCCTAAAATATTTTAAACATACACACTATGACAACTACTATTCGCCAAAGTGTTATGTAGATGTATCAGTAAATAAAAACACAAACTTATTTAAAGTGTCATGGAATTTACAGAAATATTCAATTACTACGTATTCAAGAGTTACTGCATTTTTTTCCTCCAAAACTTTTCCTCTCTGAATACCAAGTTGCCACCTACAATTAACAAAAATTATTTTTCATAATAACTGGGAAAATCAATTGCTAAGTGGTTACTACTGACATCACATCACCAGCTAATTAGCCATGCCCTACTCCAGGGATCTTCCTGATCCAGGGATCGAACCCATGTCTCCCTCATTGTAGGCGGATTCTTTACCATCTGAGCCACCAGGGAAGCCCAAGAATACTGGAGTGGGTTGTCTATACCTTCTCCAGGGGTCCAACACAGGAATCGAACCAGGGTCTCCTGCATTGCAGGCAAATTCTTTACCAGCTGAGCTCAAGGGAAGTCCAGCTAATTACCACCAGCAAGGAACTTAAACCCTATCATGTAAGGGGTCCACAAAATCTTGTACACAAAGAGAGAATTCCTAACACCAATTAAAAAGAAAGAAAGAGGCAGAGGAAAAGAAAAACCTGAGAATCATTAATAAGCAGATAGATAAAAAAAAATCCTTTGCCTAGGACTTAAAGCCCTTTATACTAACATCATTTTGACCACGGCCAACATTATCTCCTACTACCAACCAACAGAACTAGTCCACTCCTGACAATTTTATCTCTTTATAAACATACATGAATGGTTCACACTAACTTTCAAGCCTAATTTCTCCTCTGCTCAGAATCCTTCTCGGGTTTACTAATCCAAACCCTACTTCTCTATGAAGGCATACCTTCACATCTCTACCCTGACTTCCTAAAGATTTGTAATTTCTTGACAGCATCACAAAAATAACTGGTGGATGTGTTTTTCTAATGTGTTTTTATAAAATAAGATAATTGTAAAAGCACTTTGGAGGTTTCAAGGTCTTATTTTCTGAACAGCTTTAAGTTAAAAAAAAAAGTAATAAAGCAATTGATTGCTATTCCAAACCAAATGATAATCTTTAGGGATGACTTATCTGGTAAATACTTTTTCAAAAAACCCTTGGATTACTGTCACTCTCAATCACAGCATCTTCAAAAGAAGATTCCTGTCATTTACAGTGTATTTATACTTTGACAACAATTCATTTCTGGGTGTTTGAAGTTATTTGGCTTTATGTCTATGAGGTGGAAAAATATCCAAATATATAAAGCTGAAAGACCCAAATCAGACTGGAGGCATCTTAAAATATTTTAAAGTAAAATACCATTTTCTGCAAGACGCTTTCTAAATTTTCCATATATTTTAAATTTGATTCAAAATATTCAGCTGAATGTTAAACATTATCTCCATTAAGTGTGCAATACTTTATTGTTGACTGTAGTTAACAATGTTGCTAGACACTCTTAAAAGATCCTCTCTTTATCCATCACTGGTGGTGGAACACATCAGTGTGAGCTGGAGACAACTAAACTAATAACTAAATGGAGACATCCATTTGCTACAATCACTCCAAGTTTACTGGACAGAGGAGCCTGGTGAGCTACAGTCCATGGGGTCCCAAAAGAGTCAGACACCACTTAGCGACTAAACAACAACTCCAAGTGAATGGGGCTTTTTAAAAGCATTTAAAGAGTTTAATCACTTCAACTGCTGAAAATTCTAGCTCAGAGGGCATCAAAGTATTTAGTTTCTGGGTATACTTTTTTCCTTAAAATAATATTTAAAGTCCTGAGAAATTCCAAGATGGAGTAGAAAAAAAAAAAAAAACTTAAGAATAAGAGATATTAGCCGTAATAGTAATTACTAACATTTATTCAGCCTTCACCTCAAATAAGCCAAACATCACTCTAAATCCTTTACATGAATTATTGTTTAATCCACGCACCAACTGTAAGTAGATATTATTATTATCAACCCCCACTGTACAGTTCAGATACTTAACTTTCAAAGGATAACAAGTCCAAAGTCATAAGTGGGAGAGGAGGGACTCAAACTCAAGTGTTCTTGCCACCTGGAAGAGGCATCTGGACGTATTAATAGTTAACTCCTTGCTTTTAGCCCCTACTTCACTAATCTGGCTTTGTGACTTTGTGTAAGTTATATATCCACTCTGGACCTCAGTTTCCTCATCTGTAAAAAACAAGGCAACGAATGCTAACGTTCCTTCCAGTTCTGCCTGGCTTTAATATTATCAACATTACAATGTCCCTGAGCGTCAACAAGCCAGCGTTTCATTACTTTTTTTAGTTGAATTCAACTGAAAAAAAAAAAAAATCAACCATTTAGGAACGCACCACATTTTGGTGTCTGGCCTTATGGACAGTGGGCACAAGGTGGGCAGTGGCCGTAGCCGAGGTCTTCCAATATCTCTGCTCCCGCTCCCGATGCCCCCTTTTCACCCTCAAATCCCCGGCACCCGCGGGGGCCCTTTCTCCTCCGAAACCCCTCCCGGCACACCTCCGCCTCTGGGCCAAGCCCCGCGCTGGTTCCCAGGTCTACTCACCTTTCAGGTGGTCTCTGCTGCCCGGCGTCGAGGGACCCCGCGTCCCCGCTGCCTTGTCCCCCAGAGGGGTCGAATGGAGTGCCGCCGTTTGCGATCTTTCGACCGCTCTTCCTTTCGTCATGGTTGTTTCAGGGTAGATGGAGGAAGCGGGGTGAGGCCGCTCCCCCTTAACAACAACTCCGCTGCAGGATCCTTACAACACCCAGGGGCCACAGCACAGCCACTTCCGGGTCGACCACCTCACCTGAGCCGACCTCAGCTCCGCGAGCAGTGACGCTGAGCTGAGATCTGCAGCGCCTACTCGGGCTAGGCTCCGCCCCGCACCGCCCCCGAAGGCTCGCGCGCTTGCGCCCGCCCAGTAACCGCGAGACAAGTCAAGGTCCCCGCCCTCCCCATTTGTTGCCCTACCCGCCTTCGTGACTGCGCGGAGCATGCGCATTCATGGCACCGGCGTCAGCCGGTGTGACTCATGGGCTCAGGCTTGTAACGCGCATCTCTAATTATCCGGAAGTGCGGTCCCAGACACTTAAATCCCTTTGTCCCGGCAGCCGGAAGTGGCCGGGAGTGATTAGTTGGCGTTTCACGGCAGATGTTGATTCCAATCTACACCAATTAGACAACCTGTCTTGAATCTGGAGAAGCTAGACAGTGCTTGTCTGGAGATGTTGGAAAACATAAAGGCTAGTTTCAGGAAATTAAGACTCAACTGGCAGCTATAACCTGTGAAGGTCACAGGGTGGCAGAAATGGGTTTAGAGGGACTTCGCTGACGGTCCAGTCGTTGAGACTCCGCGCTTCCACTGCAGGGGGCATGGTTGGATCCCTTATCTGGAACTAAGATCCTGCATGCCCCACAGCAGGGCCAAAAAAAAGGAAATGGGTTTTGAATCCTGTTCCCAAGCAAATGCTTTCCCATGTCATTGACCTGTCACCCTTCACTTGTAAATTCAGGACGGCTCATTTATCTTTTCCTTTTCCTGCCCCTAAAGGTACATTTTTTTTTGATGGTTACATTTTCCACTCTTACCTCCCAGAGCGGTATTCAGTTTTCTGGTGAGTGTATTGGAAGGTCCTCTTGAAAGCAACTTGGCAATGTGTGTAAAAATACTGATTCTTCCTATCCTGTAATTCAATTGCTAAGAAACTATTCTGTGGGAATAAACATACAGAGGGCGTTATTCCTGATGGAATTATTTTTTTAGTATGATAATAAATGCAGAAGCAGTCTGAAAACCAATAGGAGGTCCAGTGGAACTGTTTTATGTACACATCCTCTGGCTACATATATTAAGACCTTCAATGACCTCTGTTAGGAGGTAGTGAAAACAGGAGGGAAGGGGGCATGGCACAACCTTTGAAAGACTGACATAGCCTGAGAAAAGAACATAAACTGATTAGACTCAAATGGGTCCACAATGTCAGACAAGTCACCTTTGACTAGCCCTTGAGCCTCAATCAGCAAGCTAAAATGACACACCCAGAGGTACTATGACAGTTCCAAGGTCAACCATCAAAGATCAAAACGTGAGCAGTGGCCCAATCCCTGGAAATCCCCACCCATTTCCCAAAATAGTTGGAATAATACTCCCACTCATTAGCTTGTGAAATTACCAAACCCATAAAAGCTAACCACACACTCTGAGGCTGCTGCACTCACCCTCTGAGATGGCCCACACTCTTCTGTGGAGTGTGTTTCTCTCTGAAGAATCCACCTCTTACCTATCACTTTGTCTCTCACTGAATTCTTTCTACGATGAGACATCAAAAACAAAAACCTGAGCTTCGTTGGGTGTTGAAACCAGATCTGTGATCTCAGTTGGAAGACTGTGGGTTTTGGCTGGTTTAGAGTCCCAAAGGGCTTCCCTGGTGGTTCAGACAGTAAAGAATTCGCCTGCAATGCAGGAGACCTTCGCCTGCAATGCAGGAGACCTTGGTTCCATCCCTGGGTTAGGAGAATCCCCTGGAGGAGGGCATGCCAACCCACTCCAGTATTCTTGTCTGGAGAATCCCCATGGACAGAAGAACCTGGCCAGCTAGTTGAAAAGAGCCGGGCATGACTGGGCAACTAAGCACTGAGTCCCAAAATGGGTTTTGGCTGTTCAAGTCCCAGCCACATGGGTTCAAGTCCCAAGCAGGGTTTTGGCTGGGTTCAAGTCCCATTCTGAGGTAAATGATTTCAGCAGCTTCCCATTCAATTAATTCATGGTCATTATTAAAAGCAATATTTATTTAGATTATTTGTTAACTGTCTGCCTCCACCTCTACAATGTAAGCTCCATTAAGATAAGGGGCTTTGCCTTCTTGTCCGTTTGTATGCCCCAGTACCTGACAGTACCAACACCTAAGTTGGCATTCAATAAATATATTAAATAGATTTTCTTTTTCTTTTTGGCAACACTGGGTAAATAGTTCCCTATTATATAATATAATAATATAATAATAATAATTGTTCCCTATTCTATTATTATTTTATAGTTCTGGGATTTTAGTTCCCTGACCAAGGATTGAACCTTGGGAGCTCAGCATGAAAGCACAGAGTTATAACCACTGGACAACCTCGGAATTCTATAGATTTTTCAACCATAGAAAATTACAAAGAGACCAATAATGTGGACAATGCTTCTTTAGAAACAAATGCCAAGTATAAAAAACAAAACAAATATCAAAAGAAATACATAAGCAAGTAAATTTATATCTTTAATATAGAGGTCTTCTTGAGCAAGATGCAAAACCATTTTTAAAACACTTGATATATTTTACTAGGAAAAAAAAAATTTTTTTTCTTTAGCCACAACTTGTGGGATCTCAGTCGCTTGACCAGGGATTGAACCTAGGCCATGGCAATGAAAGCCCAGAATCCTGACCGCTAGCCACCAGTTCAGTTCAGTTCAGCCTCTCAGTCGTTTCCGACTCTTTGTGACCCCATTGACTGCAAAACGCCAGGCTTCCCTGTTCATCACCAACTCCTGGAGCTTACTCAAACTAAGTAAGNAGACAGAAAACTATAAAAAAGCATCTCTAATACCACAATCCATAGATTATCATGATGTTTGGGATTTACCCTTCTGCTGGGAGGAATTGGGGGCAGGAGGAGAAGGGGACGACAGAGGATGAGATGGCTGGGTGGCATCACCGACTCGATGGACATGAGTTTGAGTAAACTCCGGGAGTTGGTGATAGACAGGGAAGCCTGGTGTGCTGCAATTCATGGGTTCGCAAAGAGTCGGACACAACTGAGTGATGAACTGAACTGAATATTAGAAGTATTAATTAAGGAAGTCAAATTAGGGGAGTAATGCCATAATTAGACAAGGATAATAAGTGAGAATGAAGGGGTTAGGTGTTTAGGGAATTTTTGTCTTAGGAGGCTGAGGGGAATATTTGTGTCTAAGGTTGCAGGAAGAGGAATCACATTGGACAAAAAGATGCTAAATTTTGTTTTGGATACTGCCTGTCTATACTTCCTTGCTTCCTGATTTCTACATCTTTTCTCACCTGAAATTCTTCTCCTTATAGTCACTAGTGAGCTTTCCATTGGATTCAGTTTTTAGTCATTTGCTACCTCTCTCCATTGCTTAATACATTAATTCCTTCCTTCATGGTTTCCATGACAATTTTCTGACCACTTAGTAAACTCTTTTTGAAGGAAATGTTTCTTTTTACTTTACCTTAAATGCTGGCATCTCCCCTAGATATCCACTCTCTTCTCAGTCTACAGACTTTTTCTCGGCAATCTTGGCCATGACTTCAACAACCACATATAGATATATAGATGATAAATTTTTATTTCAAACACCAGAATTACACACATAATATTTATTAGACATTTATACCAGGGTGTACCACACCCTGGATATTTTCAAATATCCAAATCTGAAATCAACTTTATTCTTCCAGGGACTTCCCTGGTGGTCCAGTCATTAAGAATCTTCCCTCCAATGTGGGGATGCAGGTTCAATCACTGGTCAGGGAACTAAGATCCCCTCCCCGCCCCGTGTGTGTGTGTGTGTGTGTGTGTGTGTGTATGTGTGTGTGTGTTCTAAGTTGCTGAGTTGTGTCCAATTCTTTGTGACTCCATGGACTGTAGCCAGCCAGACTCATCTGTCCATGGAATTTTCCAGGCAAGAATACTGGGATGGATTGCCATTTCCTTCTCCAGGGGATCTTACTGACTCAGGGATTGAACCTTCATCTCCTATGTCTCTTATATTGGCAGGTAGATTCTTTACCACTGCACCACCTGGGAAGCCCCAAGATCCCACATGCCAAGGGTCAACTAAACTTATGAGCCACAACTAGCTGTGGAGCCTGGATGCCACAACTAGGGACCCTGTGAGCCCCAACAAAGACCCAACAAAAAAACTTTATCCTTCCAAACTTTAAACACTTTCTGTATTAATGATTTTGTGGGATGGCACCATCAGTTCCTATTTTGTTCAAGTCAGAAACCTAAGAACTCTCATTTCAGTTCAGTTCAGTCACTCAGTCGTCTCCGACTCTTTGCAGCCTCATGGACTGCAACACGCCAGGCCTCCCTGTCCATCACCAACTCCAAGAGTTTACTCGTTTAACTCAAGAACTCTCATCTAATATTCACTAATTTCAACTTGTTAAGTGAATAATGAATGAATGTGAATTCCACTTGTTTTTTACTCTCCATCAAAACACTGGTCTAGTCACACTTCCATCTCCTCTTCCTTACCTTCCTCATTCAGATCTCATTATCTCTTTTCTTACTCACCTTTAAACAATTTTCCATATTACCACTAGACTGGTGTCTAAGAGACCATCTCGAAGCCCTTCATGGTCTGACACAAATTTAAATAGCTGACTGTGAATCCAACATGAATAAACAAATAAATAAATAAAAGGAATCATTCTGGAGGATTTCCCTGGTGGTTCAATGGTTAAGAATCCACCTGCCAATGCAGTTGGTCCCTGGTACACAGTTCAGTCCCTGGTACAGGAAGATCCCACATGCTGTGAGGCAATTAGAGCCCATGCTCTGCGATAGGAGAAGCCACAACAATGAGAAGCTGGGAGCCGCAGCTAGAGAGTAGCCCCCACTCACTGAAACTAGAGAAGGCACACAAGAAACAATAAAGATTCAGTGCAGCCAAAAATAAATAAATAAAATTTTAAAAAAGAAACCATTCCAAACCACACGTAGTACCCTGAACATGCCATAGTCAGTTGTGCTGCTATGCCCTTGCAATAGCTGTCCTTCTGCCTTTAAACGTCTTCTCCCCAGTGTTTTCCTATGATCAATTACTGCTTATCTTTGAAGAGTTCTTCTAAAGTTAGCTACCAGCCATGACAGGGAGTCCCTCCCCTGGATTGACTCTATTTTAGTAATTATCTAATTATATTTGTTTACTCTTGTGGGGGGTGCAC